AAACCCTAAGTGATATAACTTGACTATGAAATGTAGCTTTCGTTTCGCGTTTCCGATGATCGTTTCAAGTTACAGAAATTGATTTACACACCATATCACATGCATTAACACATAACCATGATGCTCATGACATGTTTTAGCAAAAGATTTACAGTGTAACACCGAGGGTGTTACATGTAGCTGGTAGGACTTAAGTACTGGCGTCCATCATCTACCTTCTTTGGATGCAGGTTCTCTCATACTTTCATACACTGACAGGTCCTGTCTTGCTTCTAGTGTTGTACATCCATTGTCGGTTCATCTGCATTACATGACGTACACCACATCAAAAACTTGTAATAACCCATTTTCGGGTTCATAAACCTGGGGTCCCTCGCGGACCGGCTTCCCAACAAAGACTTGGCCCAAGCAGACAACATGCAAGTCATGGGCCGGCCCAAGTATCAAAACGACAGGCTAGAAGGACGATCCAATCACCGACCGAAAGGCCTGGCCAAGGAGGAACGACACCCGCTTTCCGACTTCGGCCCACCTCTCCGACCGGAGCACTCGCTTTGGTCTCCAGCCCACCTCCGGATAGCCTCTCCGACCGGAAGGCCTGGCCAAAGCACTACTTCTGACTCCGACCCCACGTCTCCAACCGAGGTATGCAAAAACCCTGCTCACTGCTCTTCTCCGACTGGCGCAACTAGAACCGACTAGGACCAACCGACCGGGGGCGCCCGCCCAGAAAGGACCAGGGAACAAATAGAGAAAAGCAAGGCGAGGCGCACAAGTCAAACCACGATACCAGGGACCGTACACTGTACACCTACAGGAACAGTACTCTGCAACCGCCCTGACACGAACAGTGTTGTAGGCGCCGACATTTTTACCTACAGTATTGTGGACGCCATTAACTCTCATACGGTAAGGCCTCCACATATGCCTCTGGGCGTCGACAGTGTTGTGGGCGCTAGAATTTACCGTACCGAGTGAACATGATGAAACTCCTCACATGCCTTTGGGCATCAACAGTGTATACAGGTACCGACATCTGCCATACCCGAAACAAGACGACGTAACCTCCCACATGCCTCTGACATCCAATAGTGTTGTGGGCGCCTACCATCATCATGTACCTACCGACGTGGGCAACAAGGCTTAGAAGCATACGTACTCTCTCCCTCTCACTTGTAAGGCCATCCCCTTCATCTATAAAAGGGGATGCGCTCTCTCCCAAAAGACTCAGTTAAACCAAGTTGATCAAAGGGAATACAAGTTATTCCAGACTGACCAAGCTCACTAGCTCACAACCACAGAACCGCCTGGTTCGGACCTCAAGCACACGCTTGAACACATAGCTTATAGTGGAGCTCCTGTCGCTCTCGGCCCTTCCGACCGGAGTCCGACCGGACCTCTCATACACCCCATCTTTCTTCTTCTCGTCTGTAACCCCACTGCAAACTTCGAGCACCTAGGCTCAGGAATAAAGTCACCGATCGACTCAAACTGGACGTAGGGCACGTTGCCTGAACCAGTATAAACCCTGTGTCATTGAGTGCTAGGCCACCTCCGATCACAACGTACGACAAAACTACAAATATTTACTAGTTGGTCACTTTCTGCACCGACACCTATATTATACAACATGCATGATTAGTAGTTAATTAAAAGATCCAAAATATCCATCAATCAACATGATTAATTAATATCCTATACCACACAGTCGTTTCACGTACTCTCAAACATTAATTTATTAAAGCCTTGATACAATGTAGACAATCCCAAATAGCACTAAACAAACTAAACCTACAATGCACTTCAGCAGAATAAGAATTTCGAGACCAATTCAACTAAAACAAATAGATCATTCTTCTATTGGTTCATTGCCTCATCATACAAAGGTGCACTCTCATCAGTCGCCTTTGCAAGAGATTTTTGGACATGCTCAACATACTCTTCCTCCTAGTACCAACCGTCACATGATCCAGTGCCATCCCACTGAAATTACAACAAGTCAAGAACTTTAATCAAAATCATCACGAAAAATGGCTACAAAGCATAACAAAATATGACAAAACAATTACTCACTTCGCGATTCGGACACGTGTAGAAGATGCGTCCTTGGTTGGGACCCTTCTTGTTCACCCTGTACTCCCTCACAGTCTTCTGTCCACACTTGCCGCACGCAATGAGAGGGAGGTCCGGCCTCAGTCGCTTATGGACCCCATGCGAGGCCAAGGACCCAGAAGCAGTCGCCATCTACGACTCTCTATACTCATTTTCATCGACTACTATAAATTTCTCATTTTGTGAACCATGAAATTAAATGAGCTATATACTAAAAAAACCTTTTATTTCTATATTTCTAAACCATGAAATGAGGCGATGAAAGGTGCATACTAGTCTTGATGAGCTACTATAAGATTCCTTCATCTACATATGCAAACTATCAAGTGATTTTGAGCTCAAATGGCATATAAATAAAAGATATCCACCATTATCCCCAATGTAGAAAACAAAAAAATTCTCTATTTCTAGACCATGAAATGAGGCAATGAAAGGTGCATACTAGTTTTGATGAACTGCTATAACCTTCCTTCACCTTCATATTCAAACTATCAAGTGATTTCGAGCTTAAATGGTATATAAATAAAAAAAAATCCACCACCATTCCCAATCTAAAAATCACAAATTTCTCTATTTCTAGACCAAGAAATGAGCCATGGTAGTGATGAAACATGGGAGGATGAAGTTGGTAACATTTAGAACCGAAGAATGGATAGAGGAATGAAGTCTTCACCAATCCCGCAAGCATGAACTTCTTCCATGAGCAAGAACAGAGAGCAGGCAGAGAACTTGAAATGGCTCGGGCTGGGGGAGGAAGAAGAAGTATATAGCCCGTGACATGTAGTCCCGGTTTGGGGTATAAACCCGGACTACAGGTACAATTCTATTCCCGGTTAGAGCCACCAACCGGGGTTAAAAGTTTAGTCACGACTGGTAGCTCCAACTGGGACTGAAGGATGACCTTTAGTCCCGATTTGAGCCACCAACCGGGACTAAAAGTCCCCTCCTGCTTCCCTCCTGTAAAAGCTACGCCTCTAGCTGTTGAGCAGGGGACTTTAGTCCCGGTTGGTAGCTCCAACCGGGACTAATCATTTCTTTAGTCTCGGGCCAAAAAATGGCTGAGATTAAAGCCTTGAATCAAAAATCTGTTCTCTACTGGTGATTATAGGACAGAGGGAATATGCATTAATAGAAAAGGAAGACTATTTTTGGTTTTGACTCACAAAAACAAGATGGCGAGATGGCATGGAGATGATTGTTTGTAACTTCCTTTTTTCCGAGTTTATGCTTGGGTTCAATTTACGTTTGAACAGTGTAGGATGAAACATAAGGGATAACAATTGTAACATTTTTTCCTTTTTATTTGGTTTTATATATAGTTTAGGAAGCTCCCGTTTGCAAAAAGGAGGCGGGGGACGTAGCTTTGTTTTAAGCAATGTCAGTGTGCGCCTTGAGGGCATGTAATCGATGATAATGACCGGACAAGTAATCGAGTGGAATGCACACTCATTTTCTCTTTGAACTGCGGCGTTCATCAAGTACAACTGTACAATTTCCTACATAAGTTAGTTACTAATCCACGTCCACATAATCTATATATATTTCTTGTAAAGTTAATCCGACTACAAGTCTATTTCAACATGCAAGCCGCCCACATTATCACCCTCTAATTATCCACATCATCTCCACTAATAGCCATGTCATCCCACTACTTTCAACATCTTAATACAAGCTACCTACATCATCTCCACTTAATTTCATTACAAATTGTTCGTAATTCTTGTAGTAACACGCGGGGTATCTTCTAGTATTTTGTATATACGATGGCAACAAGATGTAAAGCTCAAATTATTAAAGGCACAGCTCATGGTATAAAATACTAAGGTTTTGTTTGGATCCATTAGTACTAAAAATTACCAAGTAAAAGTAGTACCAGTAGATTCAAACAGACCTGCTAATAATAAACCTACTAATTATTAGTTGAAAGGTTGCTAAGGCCATATATATGTTTGGATCCCTATAGATAATAGTCATCTGCTACGGTAATAGTTATCTCTTTTGGATCCAAATAGGCCCAGCTAATAAAGTAGCTAATTATTAGTTGGACCCGTAGATAATAACTACCTTACTAGTTGAACCAAATCAGATAATAAAAGCTAATATTAGCTATATGCTATTAGCTAGCTAACTAATTTCAGCTAATGGATCCAAACAGGCTCTAACTATTATTTTCATTAGTAGAATTACAAATAGTGCTAATAGTTTATACGCACTTTTAAGTCACTATTCATTCACCTATTAGCAGGTGAATCCAAACAACCATCTGCTAAAAATTAGTAGCTAATGGAAAACAAGCCGTAAGTAAAAACCACCGGTTTGATTTCAGTGTCCGTACGCCAAATCAACAGCTCTCATTATACTAATAATATATACAGGAGAAATTGAAAACGGCTTATAAGCCGTATTTTTTTTCTCTCACAACATATCAGCCAACGGTACTTTCAGCCATAGCTTATCAGCCAAGCGAACGGGCATAAGTTTTCAGTACGTGGTCGATTGATCTCTGCTGAACAACGACGCCTGTACGTTAATTCGTGGGCGGGGCGAGCGTGCATGCACAGCCACAGCTCAAATCGGTGGCTCAGCTCCGAGATCCGGCAAAAACGCCCACCGGCGCCGGGTCGCGCGCGCGCAACGTGTCGCGTGGCACCGCGACCGCCTCCACCGACATCGTCTCGGGACGCAGCGACCATTTCCTCTTCCTGCGCGCATGCGTGTCCGTCGCCGTCCCCCCGTACGTCTTGTCCCGTCGTCCCTATATACGGTAAACGCACAAGAGGTAACTAGCGAGTGTGAGCGCGAGATCGAGGAGAGAAGGCAACAGGTCGGGGCTAGCAGCAGGGAGAGAGAGCAAGAGCGAGAGGGTTGGTCAGGACGAAACCTGCAGCATGGATGAGGAGTACGACGTGATCGTGTTGGGGACGGGGCTCAAGGAGTGCATCATCAGCGGCCTCCTCTCCGTCGATGGCCTCAAGGTTGGGCGTGCATGATAAGATGATTCTTCATTCTGATCCGGCCTGTCCTTTTTTTTTCCTTTTTTTTTCTTGCCAGTGTGAACCGGACGGGATCCAACCGTCAATGTTTGTTTATTTCTTATATAATATATGTGATTACACAGGTTCTTCACATGGATAGGAATGATTACTATGGAGGAGAATCTTCATCCCTGAATCTGACTAAGGTTTGATATATCTATCGCGAGATCCTGGACGGCAGAGCATTGTCATTAATTTGTACTCTGTGCAGTCTCTAAGGACGAATAATTCTATCTAAACATCATCTGGATCCATGCATGCATCTTCTGAGAAACAAAGACAAGTTTAAAATTTCCCAATTATATATCCTTTTTGCCAAACATCTTCAATTATGCCCTTATTGTTCTTTGGGATCATCACATAAATGAAGCACCGATTCAGTTTACTGCCATGCGCATCCATGAATTCTTCACTTTCTGAAATTGTGTATCCATTCTAATTTCTAACGTTTTGCTCCGGCGGTATGGCACATTTAGCTTTGGAAGAGATTCAAAGGCAATGACAGCCCTCCTGAGCATCTGGGTGTGAGCAAAGAATACAATGTTGACATGGTACCCAAGGTCTGTTACCTGAGATCTCTCTACTGCTAGCTAGCTGTCCTGTACAATGTTTTGGTGTTGCGCAGTTCAAAATATGTTCTGAAATTTACAGTTTATGATGGCAAATGGTGCGTTGGTTCGTGTTCTGATCCACACCAGTGTCACAAAGTATCTAAACTTCAAGGCTGTTGATGGAAGTTTTGTATACAATAATGGGAAGGTATGAGTTTTGCATTTAGATATAATCCAACTGTGAAACATATGTATGCATGCTGATTCACTCTTGTTAATTTCTTTGTTAACACTGACAGATTCACAAAGTCCCTGCAACCGATGTTGAAGCTTTGAAATCTAACCTGATGGGTCTATTTGAGAAGCGTCGTGCTCGCAAGTTCTTCATATATGTGCAGGATTACGAGGAGGATGACCCAAAATCTCACGAGGGCCTGGATTTGAACAAGGTCACCACCAAAGAAGTCATCTCGTAAGTTGCTTTCACTTGTGCTGCATTTTCAGTTGTTCGACCTTGAGACCAAGTTGGAAAGGCAACTTGTGTTATTTTGTCACCATTTGTTTCCTAATGCAAAAACTAAAATGTTATCTTGGATCAGCAAATATGGATTGGAGGATGATACAGTTGACTTTATCGGGCATGCATTAGCGCTTCACCGGAATGATAGCTACCTGGATGAGCCTGCAATTGACACTGTCAAGAGAATGAAGGTACTGCATTGGCGTACTTTGCTATACACACAATTATGCTATGTTGAATGGTACTTATTCATCTTTTAAGAAAAATGTTGAGATCCTAAACTATGTCACTAGAAGGTAGTTTCAAAGGCAATCTCCTACTATATACTACATTGGTGCCGGATATAAGGGATTCTGAGTTTGTCCAAAGTCAACTATCCTAAGTTTGACCAAGTATATAGCAAAGAGAAATAATATTTATTGTATCAAATAAACTTCATTAGATACATTATGAAATATGTTTTCATAAATTGCATATTCGACGTGGTACAAGTTAATGTTCTTCTTTTGTCAAACTTATATATATTAGGACAAATTCAGAGTCACTTACATTTAGTAAAACCACAATTTATTATGGCAATGAGTGAAGCTAATTGTTAGGCCTAATAATTGAAGATAGGGAAATGACACCATTACTTACGTGTTTTGTGCCCATTTTCATTTGATGTTTGTTGTACCCTCCCAATTTGTGTGATCCTCTTCACAATTCAATACATTTAACATATTGGAGACACTATTAGGCCAAAGTTATGAGTATTAAAATGACCTCTAAAAACATCAATTGTTATATATATGTTTTAATTTTGGTTCATTATTTTTGAACTTCACTGCACTGTAGCACACTCTTGCCAACAGTGTACATCTTCAAATGTAGAGGCTGGGATGTTTTAATTTATTCCATTATGTAATATGGAAAATACATGATTGGATATTCGGATATCCTCTTGTAGTTGCACGCTATATATGGTTATTTTTGAGAGAAAATCCTACAACCCACATTATATTTTATTAGTATAAATTATTCCTTAGATTACATATTTGCACAATAAATATTTCAATGTCTTAAATCATGATGCATATGTTGATAGGGTATAGAGAAAAATAAAATCAAAACATGTTGCTAATCTTGATCTTCTATTTCAATAGCTTTATGCAGAATCACTTGCACGCTTTCAAGGAGGGTCCCCTTACATCTACCCTCTATATGGTCTGGGAGAACTCCCTCAGGTATGCCCTATAAAGCAATGATGAATCAACTAGCCACTTTTTAAGCTTCATTATAAACTGAAATGATGCATGTTGTGAAAGGCTTTTGCCCGTTTGAGCGCTGTTTATGGTGGCACGTACATGTTGAACAAGCCAGAATGCAAGGTAACTAAAGTATTTCAGCCAGCACACAACATGAGAATACTTAAACAAAATGGTAGTTCAAAACTTCTGACAACCGTGCCAAATTTGCTAACTTTTTGCAGGTTGAGTTTGATGAGAGTGGAAAAGCATATGGAGTCACTTCCGAAGGGGAGACCGCAAAATGCAAGAAGATTGTTTGTGATCCTTCATATTTGCCTGAAAAGGTATATATATGTGGAAAATTGGTGAGTCACTTGCACATGGCTTCAGTTTCTAAAATGCTTGAACCAATGAGCAGGTGAAGAAGGTTGGAAGGGTGGCCCGTGCGATATGTATTATGAAGCATCCAATCCCTGACACCAAGGATTCACACTCCGTGCAGATCATCCTCCCAAAGAAGCAGTTAAAGCGCAAATCAGACATGTAAGTCATCTTGTGCAAGTAGTGCAACAAATTTTAAAGAAATTGTAAAATAAGACCTGCTATTTATTTATAGTAGATTCTTGTTTCGCATAAGGTTTTACTTGTTTATGATAAACTAGTATATTAATATTAAAATAGATCACATATAGATGCCCCTTTTCAAATAACTTGAATCATGGTGTTCCATTGCAGGTATGTGTTCTGCTGCTCTTATGCTCACAATGTTGCACCGAAAGGCAAGTTCATTGCTTTTGTTTCGACTGAAGCTGAGACTGACAAGCCCGAGATCGAGTTGAAGCCTGGGATCGATCTGCTTGGCCCTGTAGAGGAGACATTCTTTGACATCTATGACAGATATGAACCCATTAACAATCCAGAGGAGGATAGTTGTTTCTTGACAAATGTAAGTACATGTACCCACAATTTTATAGTAAAAGACCACACTACTGATGTGTTGGTAAGTAACTAAGTACACCTTCATTTTGTAGAGCTACGACTCAACCACTCATTTTGAGACAACGGTGAAGGATGTACTCGCCTTGTACAACAAGATCACTGGAAAGGTAACTTATTATCACAGGCATAGAGAATCACAAATATATATTATTCAAGTGATGTTACAATAGAAATTCCTTCAGCTAACAATTAACAAACCTACATTGATGCAATGCAGGAGCTCGATCTTTCCGTCGATTTGAATGCTGCTAGTGCTACTGAGCAAGAAGCTGCTTGAACATCCTCTATTTTTGCAGCTCTACACGATAGCTACTTCTTCTATTTTTTTAAAAAATTATTCCATAGATGGATAAGTTTCATGAAATCCATTGTCTCATGCTTTTGGAGTTCTATTTTTGTCACTTCTAATGAACTACAGCGGCAAGGATTTATAAATGTTCCATTATTCACTGGTGAAAAGATAGCTTACATTGCCCAATTTTATTATTTGAATTACTCTTATTTTTACCAGTCGATTCACCCAAAAGGCCAGAAACATAGCAATACAAGTAAGTTATGAAATTGATGTTGATTAGGAGCCAATAGGTAGAGCGACGGTTTTTCTCGCAATTCATAAACCAAAGTTGTAGTACTCAAAGTGTTGCACAACTTTGTAGTTGACTTCATTTTTATTTGAAATTATTTAGTACCCAGAAATTCTATTTTAATTTTTTTATATTTAAAATTCATTTTTAAATTCTTTCAAAATACTTTGGATGAAGAAATGACCTAATGCAAAGTTGTAGTACTCGAAGAGATGTGCAACTTTGTAGTTGACGATGTTTTTACTAAAAATCATTTAGGACTGATAAATTTTGGTTTAATATTAATGATTTTGAAAAATTGGCATCTATAGGATCACCATATGGTTTGGTGTGATTGCGTAACTTCCGGTAGATCATCCAGTGATGTCTACGTCTGTAGACTTCTTTAACAGCTAGTAGGACATTCACACCCTATATATATGTGTCATTTCTAGCTCTTTTGGAGCTATTCTATCACCTCAGCTATGAGACACATATGGAGGGACTTTGTGAAGTGTATGGGAGCCATCCAAGCCAAGATTACCAATCGTGAGAGTATGATTTTGTGTGCATTCGGTGTTCTTGGGTTGGTTTTCATCAAGGTGCTATTACATGTATTTGTCAACACCTAGATGAACCTATGAAGGACTAGGTGAGCTTTTACCAATGGAGTTTCTTAATGGAGGCTTCTATTTGTGTACACTGTTTTACACGCCGTTCTAGAATAGAGAATAGGTATTCGCTAGTGGAGACTTGAGACTTCGTGACTCAAGGAGCTAAACTGAGTCTTTTTTACTCTTTTGTGCTCTAATGTGGACTAGGGGTTGTGGCAACAACCCGATACCACAGGAAAAAAATATACTACTCTCTTTACATCTTTTATGTTCTTGCATTACTCTGATGTCTCAAGCTTGTCCTTTGCTACTTATTGTGTTCAAGTTCTTTTTTTACAACTAGAATTACATGTTAGAGTGCGCTTAGTAATAGGTTTACTTTTCACACCTAAGAACCCTTCTCTTAGTGTGAATCTTTCTAAGGATATGTTGTAGTATGATGGCCCTTATGATTTCTTAGTGTGATCGTTTTAAGGTGCCTCTATGCAAGCGGTGAAATAGTTTCGTGTAGGCTAAGATTATTGTTGCTTTATTTTTTTAAGCTTGATTCACCCCTTCTCTTGGGCCATTGGGTCCTTTCAAACATGCCAACCCTAATTTGACGCGCATCAAGCCAGCCCTTAGTCTGCAGCAACATTTACCCCTAATTGTATGATTTTGTGTCTGTCATTCTTCATAAACTAGATCAATTCTCTTCTCTTAATAATATATTTCAGCAAAGCAAATATTTCTGGTGTTGTTTCGAAAAAATCTTTAACTCTGGGATTTGTGGCCTTATACCCATAACTGATGTACATCGCCCGAGTGGACAAAACATTTTCCAGCGAGCGTGTCGAAGGGGGCACTTGGGTCCTCGCCGTGGATGTGGCGCCCAAGCGCGTAGGTGGGCCCACTTTAGACAATTCAGAGTCTTCAGATTCTTTATATTTGCGTTGTGCAGCCGCAGCTTTATTCGTCCACTGAGCCATCATCATCATGCACTGACTCTGCACGACATGGACAACGTGCTGCGAGCCTGCAAAATAAAGCAAGGACACACACCAGAAAACCAAACATCACGGCAAAGCAGCTATACCCAACCAAAGCACAGAAAGGCATGACTCGAGAGGACATAAAGCATTGACTTGCACGGTCTAGTGTTTTTGAACCCACTCACTTTTTAAGAGGACACTTGCTAGTGCCCAATGCAATGTTTCTCCTTTTCTTTTCAGATTCAGATGGCATCCGTTCATGGGAATTTTCATATAAAAAACCGATCGCGAATGAATTTGAGTGCATGGTCTCATGGTCTGGTCTACCAGACTTGTTCGGCAGCTGATTTTTACACTGTTCTCACTACTACAGGATTGTTTTTAGGCGACGGCACCCTTTTTTGATTGGAGGCGGGCACAACTTTTGACCGCCTCCGTTATGACCAGCCAGGCAAGGCTCCCGAGCGGCCGCCTCGGTTAAAGTTTAACGGAGGCAGTCGCCTTAACGTGACCGCCTCGGTTAATCACCCATTAACCGAGGCGGTCGGTCTAAAGCAACCGCCTCCGTTAATGTATTAACAGAGATGGTCAACGTTGCCCAACCGCCTCGGTTAATGGATATTAACCAAGGCGGTCACCTTACAACAACCGCCTCCGTTAATCTATTAACCGAGGCGGCCATTGTAGAATAACCGCCTTCGTTAATATGTGATTAACGGAGGCAGTTCTCCTTATATTGCCCGCCTCTGTTATTGCTGTAGCTATAAATGCACCCAGCCGCTGCCCCCCTTTGTTCTTCCTCGTGGATCCTCTTCTAATTTTTAGGGTTTTGAGCTGCAAAACCCTAAAAATTGTGCAAAATTTAGGGGGAGAAGTTTTGCTCTTGTTTTGTTGAAGGAGGACACCGCAAAAGGTAGATACACGCCCTCCAAACCTCATTTGTCGTTCTTCTTCATCATTTGGGGCTCTAGATCTAGATCTAGATCCGCCTTTTCATGGAGGAGAGAGAAAACTGCTATTTATTTAGCTCTAGATCTATTCTCTCTTCTTTGCGGCTATTTATTTGTAATAATATATGCTTTGTGGAATAAGGTTTGCAGGTATGGACAACAGGTCCGAATGGATGTACCGGATGAAGAGAATGGAACCGCAATACCTGGTTCATGTGAGGAAGTTTATTGCGGCTGCAAAAGCTCACCGTGAGAGTCTGAATCGGACGGCAACCATATGTTCGTGTTCTCACTATATGAACATGAGAGCCCACGTAGACAGCGAGGTGCAATCTCACTTGATTAGGTTTGGTTTCATCAAGGATTACACGGTCTGGACTTTTCACGGTGAAAAGATAGATACGACTAGCGGTGCATTTGGAGGGAACTCGTCATCGTCGACAACGGTCAATGCAGACCATGTAGGACGACAATCCGCCTCCTCATCATCATCATCAGCAGCCAGCGATGACAATGCTCGTGATTACGTCACGATGGATGATTTATTCCAAGACATGGCTACTAACGACGACGGTGTTGGGGATGCTGATGAGGAAGCTATTGTGAGGGACCCAGAGGGTGCTGAGCTTTTGGAGGAAATAGCTAACCGCCTCGATGAAGATGACATTCTATTTGGGAGCCTGAGGTGGCTAGAGAATTTTAGAGATATGAAGCAGGCGGCAATTGACCCGCTCTATAAGGACTGTCCGAAGGATTGGACGACACTGCGTTTTAACCTCCATATGCTGATGTTGAAGGCTCGGCATGGCTGGTCCGACACTAGCTTCAATGAGCTCTTAAGTGTCCTTGCTGACACATACCCAAAGGATAACAAGGTGCCCGCCAATACCTATCGGACGAAGAAGCTGATCCGGCCAGTGGCGATGAAACTTAGAAAGTTCGACGCCTGCCCTAACCATTGTATCCTTTATCGGGGTGAGTAGTACGAGAAGTTGGAGAGCTGTCCACACTACGGCGCGAGTTGATATAAGAGGAACGCCGGTTGTCGTGTGGATGTGAACGACGATGGAGCCTTGGGTGGGCCAAAGAAGAAGGGGGGCAAGAAGAAGGGGGCGAAGAAGATGCAGATCTCGTCTCAACAGGACGAGGAAGAAGAGGGTTACATGTAGAGGAAAAGTCCTGCACTATCGATGTGGTACCTGCCTGTCATTGATCGTCTACGGGCTATATTCGGGAACCTCGAGGATGCCAAGCTGATGTCCTAGCATGCATCTGGTGATCGCATGAAGGATGATGGCAAGCTACGACACCCTTCCAATGGCAAGCAGTGGAAGGATTTGTGGCAGAACCGCCTAATCTAATGCCTCCCAGGAGTACTTGTCTTTCATTAGACACTAAGTACTCAAGGGAGAACACTAAATTACTCGGTTCCGTTGGGCACACCTCAAGGGGGAACACGAAAATCCATATTTTTCCATTAGGATCACAAATGAGAATAAAGCTTACATCATTATTAACCATATCCTTACATCACTTTACATGTAACATCAGAGTATAACATTTATTATTTAACAGCGGAATGCAATCATATTATCAGAGTCATGAACAATTTAATTTAACAACGGAATATAACATGTTATCAGAATTACAGTGGAAATAAATATCTAGTCATGACATGATGAAGCATTGATATATAAACTATGACATCAGATTATAAAACTTTTATTTAGAAAACATTTAGTGAGAGTTATAAATGAAAGCTATGATCGCAGCGTAAAGGAAATCATCTCTGAGCCCACTAGGAGGAATCCACACACAAGAGTCAACTCTAGCATCCACCTGTCACCTGCAACAGGGGGAAATAAAACCCTGAGTACTCAATTATACTCAACAAGACTTACCCGATAGGAGAGAAGAAAAGACTCCAAGTATATGCAAGGCTATCTGGCTTGTGGGTTTAATGCATCTGCAGGAACCATTACTAAAAGTGTGTCCTTATATTCGATTTTTATTAGCAATGCATTAGTTCATTATCTAACCATTCTATGTAAGCACCTATGCTACTTTCAAGCAGGTGGTAAGCAATCATATTTCCTTTTGCCATCTTTCATCTTCTAGTTCTTACTACGGTGCTAGAGTTAAGACAAGTCATACCGGAACGTCGGCGATTCATGAATCA